AGTATTGTACCAGTACAATAACGATACGTTATACTAATTCACAAAAGACTTTCAGTACGCCATACTTTTATCGTACTAGTATTGTACCAGTACAGCGTACCGGTACAACGTACCAGTACAGTACCTGGTACCGTACGGAGGTAGATGGCTGGTACAGTACTAGTACGCTTAGTATGCCGTACTCATACTGTACTTGCAACGTACTAGTACGCTGGTTATCTGGGTAACTATAATTTTTGGGAATAAAAGTTGGATGATCAAGATTGTAATTTTAAATCCGCACTGTCAACAAAAATAATAAGAGAGTATTTTCCCTAGAACACCGCAGATGCAAACATTAGTTTATCCAAACTTTCTATCACTTCTTATTCTTATCAATATACGCAACATTAGTTACTGCTATTGGAATTTGTATTTGTATCGTGTAAGAAAATAAATGATAACAAGTTGGCTATAATTAGTTCAAAGTTTTGTAGATGTAGTTGATTTATTTGTAATCTATTTAAAAATGACTTATTACTACAAGTTAAATCACGCCTGTTGTCATGATTGAAATATAAAAAAATTTGTGCCTTGTGTGGTAGAAAAATTGTTTGCAAAGACCACATAAGGTACAAACTTTCTATTTTAATCATGACAAAACGCGTGATTACAAATAAATCAACTACATCTACAAAACTTTGAACTAATTTTAGCCAACTTGTTATCATTTATTTTCTTACACGATACAAATACAAATTCCAATAGCAGTAACTAATGTTGCGTATATTGATAAGAATAAGAAGTGATAGAAAATTTGGATAATCTAATGTTTGCATCTGCGGTGTTCTAGGGAAAATACTCTCTTATTATTTTTGTTGACAGTGCGGATTTAAAATTACAATATTGATCATCAAACTTTTATTCCCAAAAATTATAGTTATGTATTATTATTATTTTTATATTTAATAAATATAAAAAAATTGCAATAGTAATTTCAACTGATCTGCACATCGTAATGAAGCAATTTTTCATTATAATGCATAAAAAAACAATAAATACATAAAAAGTCATGCAGGAGGATCGGATACGATTTTGAATCTTTGAAATTTTGTTCATTTAGTGTTCAGAGATTCAAAATATATAAGAGTTTTTTTCGGCATCGGGAACCAACTTTCTCTTCGTTAAAGATAGGTGTGGTAATCTGTTTTTCCGACCTCGTATTTCATTAATTCAAAAATATGTTAACTTTAAGACAATAAAGAACTCATCTATCAACGCTGATAAGAATTGCGCCAAGTGAATCTATTGTTTGTATTAAACTAGTGCACTAAGAAAATGAAATGATTAAATGTAAATAAGTTTTAGTTAAAAATAACTGAGTAGTGCTGCTAATAAAGCACTCGGCAGAATCTCAGTAAGTGTACTCGATTACGGTAACCAACCGCCTAGGCTAGTTGATTACTGTAACCAAGTGAACACGATTATAACTTTTGGTTGAATCTTAATAAGTATACTCGGTTACGATAGCCAACCGCCTAGGCTTAGAGATCCAAATTTGTTAGTTAACTTACTCGGTTACCGTAGCTACTCAAAAACAATACGGTAATCATTAAGCTCTGTTATATTTAATAAACTAAATATTTGATTTCAATTACTTAACTGGATTACAACAACCGAACTCTTTTACCCAGTTACTTAATTGTGATTATTAATCGTCTTGTTTAAATTTGAAAGAGAATTATTTTTAGATAGAATCAAAAGAATTTTTCTTTGATCAAAAATACTTCATTATATTTTAAAAAAATTATTTGATTAAAAAATATTATGTTAATCCAAAGAAAACGGAAATTTTGTTTAGATTAACATTTTTTTAATCAAATAAAATGTTTTTAAATAGGTATAAAATAAAATATTTTTTTAAGATCAAAGAAATATTTTGTTGATTGTAAAAAAAATTTCTTAGATATTTATAGGTAAATCAACTGATTTTAATTTAAGTATAATTTTTTAACAAGAATGAAAATATATTACCTAAACGGAAAATTTTTTAAAAATGAAAAATTATTGTTCTCTATCTTATTATAATATTTTTATTATAAATTGGTATTTATAAAAACAATTATTTTATTGATATATAAGTTACAGCGGACTTCTTAAAATGACATAGTTTTCGCCATTAGCTAGTATTACTTTTGTGTAATATATAGGCGACAATAAATTATTAAGAAAACATAGAATAAAATATTTCTCTAGAGGAGTTTCCACTTGGTACGCAAAATAATGCTCATCGAAGCAGACACTTTTTAGAGACATCCCTTTAAAAATTATTTCCTTACAATCATATATGAGGCATTTTACGTGTAATGTCCTGAGTTAAAAAATTGATTTCTTGAAAAAAGTGAAACTTGGGAAAATTGTTGTCCTACCTAATAGTAAAATATCCCAAAAAAAATGTTTGACTTTTTTGAAATTTTGGGGAAGATAGAGGGGGTCAATTTTATCAGTTTTCCCTGACACCGCCTACTATTTGAATTTTTTCTGTATATTAATGCAATAAAAAAAATTTTGGCAGGTATGTTTTTTGTAGGTTTTTTCATGCTCATTCCAATGGTGAATTTCGTTTTTTAAAATTTTTGAATTTTGACCTTGATTTTCTATAATTAAACATAAATTTGCTATTTTCACTAAAATCGGTGCGTTTTTTTTAAATAAATAATTGCAAACGAAAGCTGAGGTTTTTTTCGATCTGTATATAAATTTTCAGAATGCCGATGTTTTTCGTTTTCGAGATATTAAATGTCAAAGATTTTATGTCAGCGTACACGGCGAGGCGGTCAACTTATACCTTATGCCTCATATGTAAATGTATTTAACACCGAAAAAAAAGTATTCTGAAATGAAGTATACAATATTCTAAATTTTTTCAATTAGTATATATTCTAAAATTTTTAGTATATCTACCATTTATATCTGCAATAATAGTTGGTATTCTTAAAAGAAGAATATATTCTAGAACTTAGAATATAATATTCTTTGAAAAGGCGTTATGCGCATGTGTGATTGCGCGACCGTAAAACGCAGAAGCAAGTTGGAAAATACCGGTGTCCTCGTGTACGGCGTAAAACTTTTTCAGTGTTTCGGGTTAAATTAATATTAAAAAAATATTATATCGAGTGTCAATATGGAAGAGGTTAAAATGTGCCTTAGAATGTATTATAGATTCTATAATTGTTTTTTAGTGGTTTTTAGCGTTACATGACGAGCTCGTATCATTTAACCCCTACTTTCTTCGCACAGGAGGTGATGGTAACTCATATATTTCTTTTCAGCATATTTTATAATTTAAAATTTAATGTAAAAAATTATCTTTTTAATCTGCACTAAATATTTTTCATTATTTCCAGAATTATTTAATGTATATTTTCGTATTAAATATCAATATTTTATTAATTTTTTATAAGAAGAATACTCTATTTTTAAATTTAGTATATTCTATTCTTCATTCAAGAATATTATCATCATTATAGCTCTCAAATGATTATACTGAATATTAGAATACCTTATACTCGATCACTAGGTGAATCCCCTCTAACATCTAGAATATATTCTTGGCACCTATTTTAGTGGGAGATATTCTTCAAGTTAGTGGGAAATACTTAATTTTAGAATATTGTTTTTTCGGTGAACAAGAAAAAATTCGTATAAATAATTATCTTCACTTATATCGCAAAACAATATACATTCTTTTCCATGTTTTATTGCACTATTAACTTCCACTGCTGTAAATTTTTATTAAAAAATGCCCGGTGACCTATGATGGGGATAAGTTCTTTTATCTCATCTGCTTCCAACAACAGTAGAGTCCCAAAAGAAACTGCATTATCTGTAAGCAAAGTGCATCCACATACCATATATCAAAACATGCAATATACAAACACGAGCAAACCGCTTATTCCAATTTCTGTAAACGTATTAATTTGATGAAAAAATGTTAAATGGATAAATACACTTTTAAATGATGAACAAAACAAATACATATAACCTCAAAATATGCAATTTTTGTCGATTTTATAACATAAATAAATAAATTAATTTAGTAAAAGATTAATCGCACTATTTTAAAAATGAGATGGAAATTAAAAAGCAAATAAATGTATTAAAAATAAGAAATACATTATAGTGGAAATAATAAAAAACTAAATTAATGGGAGGAAATTTTCAATTGTTTGAAGTAGAATTTTCATGATTAAAAAGTATAAGCACAATTTTCTAATAAGCAAATTCAACATTCAAATGAGTTTCATTTTGATTTAAATTAACTGAATTACAACTAACCTTCAAATGCTTGAATGTTTTGAGATAAATTCCAGGCAGTTAATAAATTTTTCACGTCTTCGTCTGCTATAGTTTCGACGATGTGCGACACTGAGAAGCAAATATGAGACGCTTTGATGTTCACTCGGTTAAAATTACGCAAAACAACGTTATTAACGGTAACCGATTTCGATGCGAAAAAATAATAAACTTTACATATATTTAAAAATAACCTACTTTTGGGAAAGAATATAAACGAGTTTCTTGTAACTCGGTTAAAATTAAACACAGACTACCTGTTTGTATTCAAACAACAGGTCGGTAACGCCAACCAAGAACGTTTCCTATATTTTACATAATTCAAATCGGTTATGCCAATTCTTCAATGGGTTAATTTTAACATATTTATTTTAACAATCTTAACTCGGTTGCAGTAGCTAGTACCACTTAGTTGCTTTTAACAATATCTTATTTATTTTTAAATACTTTTTTTAACCGAGCTATTTTTACAACTCGGTTAATCACTCATTTTCTCAGTGCAGTAAGGTGAAGAAGACTTCTGGTAAGTTTCATGAAAATCGGTTAAAAATTGGCCGAGCTGCATTTCATGGCGCGCAAAAAAACGCGTTTAAAGTTGTCAATAAAAAAAAGTAGTGTTACTCTTAAGCGTTTAATGGGTTTGATGATAAATTTTGAATTTATACCTCGAGAGATTTGAGCATTGGTACTTTGTTGAGAAGATTTTCGTACATCTTGCATTTTTTAAAAGCAGATTTAAGGAGAATGCGTCGGAAAGTTAATCTGTCCATTGCCCAGAGAGTGCCAGGCGTAATTGCTTTAACAGTCGCTGCTCGAGGTTGATTATAAAGTAATGCCAATTCTCCAAAGGCGCCGCTATTATCGTAGGTGTGAATATGATTCTCTTTATCTTGTTTATCTTGCTTTACGTAAACCTCGAACTTTCCCCTAAAAATAGTACATTGTTAATAATAATAAACGGGAATAAGAAATGTGTAGAAATGTAAACTTGTTTATAAAATTATGTAAAAAGAAAACAAATGTATAAGGGGAAATTTTTTTTAATTTAATAAAATATGAAGAAATTATTCAATAAAAAACAAAGTAAAAGGCAGTGATCTTTATGGAATCAAAACAAAATTCAAAATCACTTTTACTTTCCCGTGTGGAAAATTGGCAATGGCCCCGTGAGGGGCACTCGTGGATTGCCCTCGTGCCGCATGGAAACCATAGGGGCAATCCACGTGGAGCCCTCAAAGGCGTGACATGCTTTCCCTCATGGATACCCTCATGGAAAATTTATTATATTTTATTTATAAATTTTATAAATTTATATTATAAAAGTTAATTAATAATAAATAAGCTTAAGTTATGAATAAATAACATATTTATTTAATAATTATTCAATTTTAAATTAAATTCTTACTCAAATTGAATTTATTAATTAACATTCTAATTAATTAACTGTCGGATATAATTAAAAGTAATAATAAATTAATTAATTCAAAAATTAAAAAATATGTAATTTATGCATACTATTAACGGATATTTTCATTTTTCAATTAATTCATGCATAGAATTAATGATTAAACGCAAACCTGAGAAATAAATAAATCTAACGCATGGGGGGAATCGAACCTACGACCTACGGACTATGAGTCTAACGCTCTACCAACTACGCTACGCACGCTACTTCAAAACGAATGCTAACTTCTTGATGCTATTTAAACTTAAAAAATACCTAACAAAGAAAAGTGCTTAACATCATTTAGTTACAGTTAAGATATTAAATTATATTTTCCAATCAAATGCAATTTATAAAATATAATTAATTATATGCTTTATGATTATTATCATGAATCATCTCAGGTGAATTTTCAAAAAAAGTGTAAATATATTTTTATTAAAAACGCGTTTTTCGTTGTTCTGAATCATTGGAAACATTCATTTTTTGTTGACGAAAAAATATTTGAATTTTGGACTTAGAAAATTTTGCTAATCGATGATGAGGGCGATCCATGCGGGCCCCTACGATGGCCCTCATCTATTTTGCCATAAGTGTGAGTGTTATTTTCAAAAAAGTGTAAATATATTTTTATTAAAAACGCGTTTTTCGTTGTTCTGAATCATTGGAAACATTCATTTTGTGTTGATGAAAAAATATTTGAATTTTGAACTTAGAAAAATTTTTGAGCAGGGCACCGTGAGGGCAAATAGCAAGGGCCCTGCTGGAGCCTTCGTGTATTTCCATAACTTTGTACATAGATTTTTAAAAAATGTCACCCAATGTTTATTTCAAGTGCTTTAAAATGTTATTTAATGCATTCTGAAGTAAACATTTATTATACAAAAAAAATTTTTTTTTTTAACTTAGACAAATTTTTGAGCAGGGCACCGTGAGGGTAAAGACCGGGCACCCTGCTGGTGCCCTTGTGGATTTCCAAAACTTGGTACTTAGATTTTTTTTAAATGTCACCTAATGTTTATTTCAACTGCTTTAAAATGTTATTTAATGCATTCTGAACTAAACATTTTTTGGTAAAAAAAAATTTTTGTTTTTGGACTTAGACAAATTTTTGAGCAGGGCACCGTGAGGGCAAATAGCGGGGGCCCTGCTGGTGCCCTCATGGATTTGCCCTCATGGATTTTCCACTTGGGACCCTGCCGGGGGCCCCTATCACGCATGGGACGAACGGGGCGTTTTCCACACGGGTTGCTTCTCATTGAAATATCAGTATCAAAAGTCAACTGTGGTTAGGTTTTTGATTCTTGTATCTGAATTAAAAGTTTAGTTCATTAATTTAAGGTAGTATTACACTTTTTACCGAACAAAAAATCAATTTTTTTTCTTGAATTTTTTTGTTCCAAATCATCTTACTAATGTAATCCCAAATTACCAGATCAAAATTCAATATAATAAATAAGTTACTCAAGTAAATAAAGCGCAGGGAAATACACGTTAATAAACTTTACGTATTAAGGTTCATATGCTTGCTTATAGGCGATGCAAAGCAGATAAACATATCGATAGGCGCTTCTGGAATAAGTTCTACTCGAGTCTAGTACTGAGTCCTGAACAGACTATAATGTGAACAAAGCGGTGTGGGTCGTTTTATTTTAAACTTAATGCAATAACTTAAATCTTTTTGTAACCTAAATTATTATATTTATTAATCAAAATATTCATATTTCTTGTAATTATTAATAAACTATATTTTTTTGTCATTATTATTGATTTATGATTCTAAATGTTAAATTTTCGAGAAATGTTTTTTTCCTACTAGAAAAAAAGCAGCCTTGCGTGGAGAAGATAGAATATCGAAATAATCGATGACAATTTTTAGAAATGTATTTCTTAGCAATGTTTTAAACTTTGTGTAATAAATATATTAGGTTCTATTTTAATTAAAATATTATTTTGTGTACATTTTTTTAATTAAAAAAATTAAGATTGCTTTTAAAATAATTGTTTTAAATATTTTTAACAGGATTTTGAATAATTTTTATTAAATAATATAAATAATTACAATATAAATAATTGGTGCAAATTAAATAATGGGTTCTGTAAGGATAAACAAATTCGAAATGCACGAAAATTTATTCAAAATTAGTTGTTATTACAAAATTTCCTATTTTACTTAAAATCTAATCAGACCACCTCTTAAAAATATTATCACAAATGTATAATACTACTGTAATAAAAAACGAATTGACTTTTCGTTGATTCTATTCATAAATGACTCGACTTAGTCAAATTTTAATATATAATTTTTAGGTACTCCATATTTTTTTAAGAACAAAAAATTTTAATTATAAATATAAAGTTTTACATTTTTGTTAAAATCTATTCAGACATTTCTTAAAAATATTATCACAAATGTGATGTTACAAAAATTATTAATATAAAAGTAATTAAACAATAAGAGCACGGGACCACTTACCGACTGAGGCCGGTAATGTAGAAATCTGTTTACCGACATTTCTTAGTGGTCTTGGAAAAAAGTTCTTCTTTACCGATCGAGTTAGTTCCGGCTTCCACCGCTAGACGGCGCCACTTTATTTTCGTGCCGAATTTTACGGAAATTACGGAATTAATGACAAATTGACAGAAATATGCAATATTATTAGTCAAGGTAAACGACTAATACTTACTTTAATTAATTTGTATACATAGCATTGTTTAAACAACCCTTAATTAACAAATACAGCTGCTTTTACATGTTTCAGATTTGGGTTTGCTTTAATTTTTTTTTAAAGATAAAGTATTTTTATAATATTTAACAAAATCAGTAATAAATTAAACAACATTTATATTTTTAATAACAATTTTATATAAACAAAATATTTTTTTGTTATTTTTATCCAGTCTCTTTACAGCTCTTTTCTTTATTTCTTAATTATATCGCTCATATTTTTATGTAATTTAAATACTAGCAATATTGAAACTAATGTTAATTAACAAATTTAAAAACTTGTTGCTATCAGACATTGTTAATTATTTTTATATACAGGGCAAAATTCCTGTAGCCTACTAAGTGAAAAAAAAGTTTAGCCTTATGGGTGAGTTTTTTAACCACGAAGTATTGTTAAAATAATTTACAATGTCTGATAGCAACAATTTTGTAAATTTGTTAACTAACATTAGTTTCAATATTGCTAGTATTTAAATTAAATAAAAATATGAGCGAAATAATTAAAAAATAAAGAAAAGAGTTGTAAAGAGACTAGGTAAAAATAACAAAAAAATATTTTGTTTATAAACAATTCAATATTTTTAGAGATATAAGCCATTAAAAAAAGGTCTACTTTCGCGAAGCTAAAATTTCAAAAATTCATAAGTAAAAAATTTGTTTGATTTTTCAAAAATAAAAATATACGTATTTTATGTTTTTCTACAAAGAATAAGAAAAAATTATATTTACCTGAATTTTAAACCTCCACTATGAATCTCACGTGGAATCGCCTATATGTCTTCTATGAACTACAGGTAACAATAAAAAGTGTGTACCAGTCTCTACTTATATCAAAGTCTATTCTTAAGTCTTTTTATGAGGAAAAAAGGTTAATTACATTGACCCTTTCACGAGATTGTCAAGTATATCCTAAAGTAAATAAAAGATTTTCACTTCAGAATGTTAAGAAATTGTTTCTCATTTTCCGTAACATTAATGCAAAAAATAAATCAAAATACCAAAAAACACTATTTTTTTATTAAAACTCATTTTTTTAAATCGGCAACGTAAAATGATTTTAAAATCGACATTAAAATACTCCCAACACATCCACAAATTATTATTAAAAGGAATTTTGAGGGAGCATATCACTTTTATTTAAACTTCCTTCTGGCGCACCGTGTGCTATCTCAAGACTCGAACCAAAACTCAATCTCATATGGGCAAAAACGAAGGTTGCACCACTTAAATGGATGAGAATACTAAGGTTGGAACTCTCGGCAGCGAAATTATTAACTCGACTCATGGCTTATACTCAACGGACGCTGGATTCATCTCATGCATCAATTTTCATGTGGAAAGACTCACAAGTAACTTTCAATTGGATTCAAAGTCACCCCTCAAGATGGAAAGATTATGTACGGAACAGGGTCTCATTTAGACAAGATTATTCACCGCATGCTTAATGGCGGTTTATAAAAGGAACAGAAAATCCAGCGGATTGCGCATCTCGGGGATTAACAATTTCTAAACTCCTACTCTTTGGTGGAACGGACCACCATTGTTAACGGACTCAGCGGATCATTGGCCATCTCCTAAAGTAAAGGAAAATTACTCAGCTCAACTTAAAAAGAGATCAGGACTGGCTAAGGGTATCAAAAGATCCTCATTCTCAACTGTGGAACATAATAAATCGGTACTCATGACTCAATCGGTGTTGAGAATCACATTAATTTGCATCAGGGTCATCAATCATCTTAAACAAATTCGACAATC